TTCAGTGGCACGATCTTGGCTCACTGCAACCTCCGCCTCCCAGGTTCAAGTGATTCTTCTGCCTCAGCCTCCTGAGTAGCTGGGATTACAGGCGCCCACCACTACATCTGGCTAATTTTGTATTTTTAGTAGAGATAGGGTTTCACCATGTTAGCCAGGCTGGTCTCGAACTCCTGAACTCAGGTGATCCACCCGCCTCAGCCTCCCAAAGTGCTGGGATTACAGTCATGAGCCACCACGCCCGGCCTAGACTCCGCTCTTTTAAGGAGAGTGGAAATAATGGAGTGTAGAGAGTGGAGGGCAGAGGGAAGGGGCTGCTGGGGGTGGGCTGGGTCAGGTAATGGCTAAGTGGGTGGCACTGGGTGAGTGTCAGGGTAAGAGTTGAGTCAGGCTGGCTGATGGATCCCGGGCCTGCCAGGTGGCTTGGGACTCTGGACACCCTGCCCACACCTCCTCCCCCAGGGGGACTGCGAACTGCCAACATCCCTTCCTGAGGGTAGCCTCCCCTCCCCGCACCGCCCTCCCCACACAACACAACTGACTTTCCCCATCAGCAGGCCCAGGGGAAGAGAAGAGAGTGAAGGAGGAGGAAGAAAAAAGGGAGGCCACAGAACCACGACTGAGTCTGCAGTCCTACCCGCATATGAGCTCCGAGGCTTCTCCTGTGATCCATCCAGGCTCTCTGCTGACTCTGGAAGACTTGGCCCTAGAATAAGAAAGAGAGTGGGAGGAGGGGAGGAAGGCTGTGGTCTAAAGTTAAACAGAGCCCAGCTGGGGCTGGGGTATAGGAAGATTTTAGAATGAGGAAAAGAACTAGGTTGGGGTGCAGCTACAGGAAGGGCAGCAGGGTTCTGGGGTTCTTTACAGGTGAGACCCTGATTGAACCCACAGAAGGGCGAGACCCCAGAGGCAAGAGCAGGAGGTCTCAGTTATTCCTCCTCCCCTGAGTAACAGAACCAGGAGACTAGTTATAACAGCAGAGCTGACAGCACTGAGCACCTTCTCTGTGCCAGGCACACCAGCCCTACAAGGGGGTACATGCAATACCCTGATTACTGGAAAAGGGAGCAGAGGCCCAGAGCCTAAGCAGCTTGCCCAAGGTCACAGTGAGGGTTGGGTGTGGGATGAAGTCCGTACTGCAGACCCTCGACCGAGCTTGCAACCTTCACCCTATGCTGAGCCCCCTGAGGGGAAGTGTTTCTCCTCAGTTGAAAGCTGGCAGAACCCGCCCCATCTCTGTTACAAAGGCATCCACGGACGATTTGTTGCTGAACTTATCCCCCTTCCTCTTGCCACTGCCCCAAGCAAACCCCTTCTCCTGTTCCACATGAGTACCTCCTTGGGATTTCCTCAGGTCCTATGATGACCCCCCTGTTCTGGTTCCCCAAGATCTCAACACACTGCATCCCACATCAAAACAGTCATTGAGTCCTTCAATGACTAAGAATCCCCTCCTAGGACCCTAATTTCTCATTACTACCATCACTGGCCGAGGCCAGGGCCTTCAGACAACCCCCAGACCTCAAATGGCCTCTTGTCTCCTAAAGACCCTCTCCAATTCATCACATATGTTGCCCCCACCACACACCACACCAACTCCCTTTGAATGAGGTTTTGAACCCTTTACTTCCTCCGGAAACTTTCAGGATATCGCTTTGCCAGCAGAATAAGGCCAGCCCCCAGAGCCCTCTCCAACCCTGGGCCTACCACTCCCAGTACAACCCATCCCTTTGACCCCTCTTGAGTGTTCCAGACTTGGGGAGACCCTGCCTGGCCAAGCAGCTCTCCTGAGCTCTGCGTCCCAGGAGAGACAGTCCCTCCAGCAGTCTCCTCAACCTAGTCCTCCCCTTCCTTCCACCTAGCCAGAGACCTGGGGATCTTCCCAGACCCTGTCACTATGCCCCTTATCTACTGCACCCTCTTAGCATCTCTCCTGTCCTCCCCCGCACAGCCCGTGATAGGGGCTGCCCCTGTGCAGAGCCACATCGTGTGCAGTAAGTGAGGACTGGAAGTCAAGCATCCCCTCACAGGGAGGCCTCCCAAAACATCACTTTATCTCCTCATGCCTCGGCTTCTCCACCTGGGGGATGGATGATATTCTAAAGTGTTTGCATTTGTTTCTGACACAAAGCTCACTCAAGAAGTTAACCTTAAATAGCAAAAATCTAGGCCAGAAGAATGATTCCCTAACTGGCCCCTTTCTTCTAACATCCTCCTCCCCAACTAGTTCTCTACAGTGTTAGCTAAGATTTTGAAAATGCGAACCTGGGGCGGCACGGTGGCTCACCCCTGTAATCCCAGCACTTTGGGAGGCTGAGGCAGATGGATCACTTAAGGCTAGGAGTTCAAGACCAGCCTGGCCAACATGGTGAAACCTCATGTCTACTAAAAATACAAAATTATTAGCTGGGTGTGGTGGTGCACACCTGTGGTCCCAGCTACTCCTGTGGCTGAGGTAGGAGGTGGCTTGAACCTAGGAGGTGGAGGTTGCAGTGAGTTGAGGGAGCGCCACTGCAGTCCAGCCTGGGTGGCAGAGTGAGACTGTCTCAAAAAATAAAAATAAAATACAATAAAATGCAAACCTGATTATAGATACTGCACCCCCTGCCCAATACTTTAGATGTGTTTCCCTTGTTAGCATGACAAACCCAAACCAGGCTGCCACCTGCCATCTGGCCCCATGCCTTTCTGCACAGGCTACCCTCATTCCTCTTGCCGTCCTTGTGCCTCTGTCTGCAATCATTCCTGATCCCATGCCCACAATGGGTCCACTGGGAAAAAGTCCTGTCCAGCCTCCCAGTGCCTGCTTGATGCTGCCTCCTCTGTGAAGCCTCCCCGGTGGTGTCCGCACAGAACTTGGGGCTGCGCTATCTTCCTACACTTTTGTTAGGACACCCATCACTACCTGCCTTCCCTGAGTTGACTTGTCTGCCTCCTCTGTGAGGCTGTGAGCTCTCAAGAGGAGAGGGTGAGGCCACCTTGTATACTACTCAGTTTCAAAATGCTGGCTCAAAAATGTTTGCAATGAATGAATGGATGCCTTGCTTAGTATTGTGGTTAATTTTTCATAGATGTTTTCTCTCTGCCACCCCTCCCCTACTCCCTATCCTGCAGCAACCCCAATATACAATATATTTTGTTTATTGTTTACCTCCCCCATGAGTGAAAGCCTGTGAGGGCAGGGATTTTTGTCTGTTTTGTTTGCTGCTGTATCCCTGCTGCTGTATTGAGTACATAGTAAGTGTTCAATATAGATATACTTTTTTGAGACAGAGTCTCACTCTGTTCCCCAGGCTGCAGG